AAAAAAAAAAACATTTTCACGGTCGTGCTGGGTCCCCCTTCCCCTTTTTTTTTTTTTTTTTTTTTCCCCTCTTTTTCTTCCCCTTCCTCCCCAAAAAAAGACAACGTAGGGGTTGGAAGGGCGCAAGGAAAGCCTCTCTGCAGGAGGTTGCCCGCGGGCATCGCTCAGCTCGCCCCAGGCGGCTACCGAAGGCCCAGGCGGGAGCACGCAGGGCTCCCTGACCCTCGCCCCCCTCTCGTCTGTCGGGAATGGGCTCCAGCTTTTCGCTTGCCAGGACGGATCAGATAAGGAGCACAAAGCCTTGCTTTTCACTTCCAGAGGAGCCGCGCTCATGCGATGCTGCCACCAGCAAACCATGTGATGAGGGCAGGGCATAAAGGACCATTTTCTGCCCGCTGCCACGTTGGGAAGAATTAGCTTTTTGTCTTTCCTAGGACAAAAACAAACCCAGACCGAGCACCACCTCCCCGAACAGCAGGGTTTGTCACGGGACACCCATCAACCTCCTGCCCAAAGGAGAAGGGAACACGACCGAGCTTTGAGACAATATAAAACCCTGAAGGACGCTCAGGATAAAGGGTGTTTTCGTCCTCCACACACACAGCAGCCCCAGCTTCAGTTACAGGGTGGTTTTATGAGGGTGAGGCTTGGGGCGGTGCCCTGGATAGCACCCCGGCCTGCTGGATATTCAGGCCAGGTGAGCTCCCGCGCCAGAGCCGCACTCATCGCTGCCTCAAATTCATTCTGGGGACGGGGAGCGGTACGGAGAGCGGGCACGGCGCTCCGAAGCTACGCTGGCAGAGCCACAGCCAGGCTCGTTTCCCCGCATTTAGGCTACAAGGAAGGTCTCCCCAAAGGGTAAAGTCTATTAACTAACGATTTGTTCCGCTTGCTCTTCCGCCTGCAGGTACAGGTGGTGTATTCAACCCCTACCACGACCTCGGGCATCGCCCGATGATCCAATTTGATCCCTTTCGAGTGTTACGCAAAGAGGGGAAACTCACAGAACTCCCGAGAGGAGGGTTCTCGGCTATTCTGAAAATTGAGCTTAGCCAAGGACTGATCTTTCAGCCGCGAAGACCTGGCTTCCCTTCCTGCGTCTGTCTGGCAACAGCAAGAGAGGAAAAAATTAATAGGATCGGCATTTTCCCTTCTGCAAAAGGTGGAGGCTGGCAGGCGCGAGATCAGCCGCAGTTTGCTGCGACCATTTGGCTCTGCCAAGCGACAGAACGGCCGCCGGAGGATCCCTAGGGTGAACCAAGAGGAAAAATTACTGATTTCAGTCAAAATAACACTGGAAATGTCCCCGCTTACCAGCGCAACCCCCCCCAGCAGCAGCACAGGCCACATCTGTCTCTTCCACAGCAGACAGCGTTTTGTTCAGGGTGAAATTGTAATTTCTCAAAATAGGAGAGAGCGGAGCAGCCTCCGCCGCCTGCCAGCGTTCACCCCGAGCAAGCTGCCGGGGCCACGGCAGAGCTGGCTCTGCCCGACGCCACGCTGACCACGCAGGCATGATTTTGTAGGAAAATACTTTGCTAAATCTCAGCTTATTCCCTTATCGGACTGGTCTTCGATTCTCAGATGCTATTTCGAGGACAAGGATAGAGACATCTGCTGGAGAACGAGAAACAAAAGTGGATGAGCAGGAGTTTGCCGGTCAAAATGAGACTTACTCTCAAAATTAAGTGGTACCTGCGCAATTTAAGAGGTAAGGGGCTGCCCCATGAACCCCAGACCCATTCCCGCTTGGGGGGGCTCTGGTCTGTCACCATTATTACGGATATTTGCAGGCTCCCACTAGAAGGAAACACAAACCCCAAGCCTGGTTATGGATTTCTTCCCTGGGAAGGAGTTGGAGCTCCAGGTAAGCCGTTATGGACAAAAACGGCTGGAGAAGGATGGGGGGATGCACCAAAGGGGTGCGAAATCTAAAAATCCTAATATTTTTCAAAACTAGTGCGAAACGATACCTAGCTCTCCTGATGCGATATCACCACGCTCTCCACGAGAGGGAGACTTGCTCCTGTCACAGCCGGCAAGGACCGCAGCGCCGTACGGCGCAGGCAGCGCCGCAAACCTGGCAGGCACTGCTTCACCCGGGACCGATTTCAGCAGCAGATGTTGCCCTCATCTGCCCCCAATCTGAGCTCTAAATGGTGTCGTTCCCCCCCCCCCTCAGACCTCGACGATGAGGAACCCAGGATAGCGTAACAAAATGATTTATTCTCATTTCCTCTTATTGTAGAGATCAGTTATGTACAGAAACTGTAAAAAAACCTCAAGAGCCTTCTAAGAAGAGCAATTACAGATGCTGCTGGAAAATAAAATCACAGGTACTGGAAGGAACCGAGAGTCAGTTCGCTTTGATCAGGGGGGAACGAGCCTTTGAGGGAGTCTCTCTCGCCTTTTCAAATATCCTTGATGACCTCTTCAAGCTCCTCTTTTGTGTACATGTGGAACTTCATCCCGGGCTCCACTGTGGCAAGCTGAAAGAGAAGGAGCAAGGGGTTAAGTGCGCCTGCATATGCGAAGTGACAGCACGGGGCAGGGAACAGAGAGCAGCCGCAGCAGACGGAGCAGCTGTTCCTTCTCGGCTGCCTGATCTGCCAGCCCAGCAAGATCATTCCACCCCGTAACACGCTCTTTGATTCCCTAAAATAGCTGTCTGCCGCAGAAATAGCATTTAATTGACTCAGTCTCCTCATAGTAGCAGCAGCAGGGAATATCTATTGGGAACAGGCAGGCTCTGCTTCTGCTTGCTGGGGAAAAAGACCCGGTTAATACGAGTCCTTCATCAAACGCTCCTCGGAGAGGGGCGGTTCTTGCTGCCGTTCAGTGTGGTCCTCAGCAGAAGTGCCTCTTCTCCTCCAGTAACCAGCCAAGGGTACAAATCCTGGCCCATTACGTGCCTTAAGAGAACCGAGATAGCGAAACACTCCAAAGGGGGCTAAGGGTTAGCTCTGGGAAACAGAGGCAGAGGCAAACCTGCATTTTGATCGCCAAACTGTGACAATAAGCAAGCCACGGTGCGCCCTGCAGCTGCCCGGCGCCCTGCACAAGCAGGCCCAAGAGATCTCCTCCAAGGCAAAGCCCAAGGGACGAAGCTGGGGGACAACACACTCCGCCCTGCCGCTTTGCCAGGAGCGGAGGGAGGCAGCGGCCAGGGCAGACAGCTGAGACATTTCACAGGGCGAGCTCCAGAACAAGAGATACTTGAACGACAAGACTGGGAGAGGAATGTAAGCGGGACTTTGGTTCGCACCTAGCTCACGGCATGAGAGCCCAAGATACAGACAGCTGCCGCGGGCGGGCAAGTCGGAAAGCTGCAGGAGCTAGCTGGGATGCTCCAGACCTCGCTCGCAGGCAGCCGGCACGTATCCCGACTCCTCGGGAATCAAAGCGTTTGGTTGCAACAAGCTGAAGGAGAGCTGCAGAGGGTCCTGGCAAATCCCAGAGCTCTTCCTAGGCTTCTCTGCTTGTAAGGTCACCCATAAAACAGCATGAGATGGTCAGAGATGCTTTTGGGGCAGAGGGAGGGTAGCCATAAGCCTTTTTCAAGGAGAAACGTCCCAAACGCTCAGCCCGAGAGGCCCCGACAGCCCAGGTTTTACCTGGCATTCTCAGAGAAGTCAGAGGCACCTGCAGATGCCACTTTAGGCCCCTCAAATCGCCTGTATGGGCACTGGCCCCATGCTAGACCCAACCGGACTTGACCACACGCATATATGCGCCCCAAAACCCAAAATAAGTATTCGGAGACACCAACTGCTCCGCTTTTCCACATCTGCTCAAACCTGTGCCTCACCTTCTCCCTACAAACAACAGCTTTACTCAGCTATTCCCTTCCAGGCTTCACAGGGAAGTAATTAATTTGAAAGCATAACATTGTTTAAGGCCCCTGACCTTTGCTGCCAATGGATTTAACTCTTCTACGACCACACTTCGCCCCTTCTCTTTGCTGCCAGATGGAAAAACAAGAGGGGGAAGCAGCTAGAGTAAATAAACCGGGGCACCGCATACTTCTAAAAGGCTAGAAAGCAAAGCAGCTACTTCAGGTAGAAGATTTTCAGCCAGAAGGGTGACTTGAGTCAATAGAGACCTTTTAATCCTCAGCACATTCTTCTCATACTTAACCCTGATATGATTCCTCAACGCGTTCAGGGCTTTGCCAAGCACAGTTAAGCCCTGTTAAACGGGGACATGACATAAGGATACTGTACACGCTCCTCCGCCTCAATGTCTTCGCACTGTACCGCGGATCTTCCAGAAGAGATCTGAAGCTGATCAAGAGAGAACCGATCAGCGCGGGCTGGGAGTGCAACGGGGGAAGCAGATTTCAGCTGGCTGGCATCGCTTCTGGACAGAGCGTCTAAGCGTTCAGGGTGCTGTCGGCCCTTTCCCCCCCAAAGGAAGCTGGTTAATCATGTCAGGAAGGGTCCCCAGCAGCAGTATTTAATAAAAAAAGAAGAGGTGCACACTTTTAGGCTGTTTGGGAAACGGGTTCCCAGCGCTCAGAGGAAAGGAATGGGAGAACGGCAGGAGAAGAGCAGCTCAGGAGTCGGAATGACATGATTTGAAAAGGTCTAGTGTCTCATAACCCGCCAGAAATAGAAGCAAACTCTATACGCCAGCCTTGCTCATCATCTATCCATTATCACTAACAAACTGGAAGGGTTTTTACCTTTGCTACTGAAAAAGAAGCGTCACAAGTCTAACGAGCAGGGTGTAAGGGGACAGGTACCACCATATTTGCGGGGATCCCCGAGAGCACTGCACGCTCGGGTCAAGCCGAGCTCGGCGAGCCTGGCCGCTTGCGGGCAAAAGCTGGAGTTTAGAGGAGCGCATTCGTTGCTGGAGGCCTCACCTCTTTGCTCCTCCTGGCCAACAGATTTTTGGCACCGCCCCAAGACTGAATATAGCAAGTCGAGAAGCTGTATAATTTTCATTCCTTCTAATATTACAAGTACCAGGGAAAAAAAGAATGGCTAAACCCAGGGGAAGAAAAAGCAATCCGGCTGGCACGACAGGTTCCCGCTGCCTGACTCGGCCTGCCTAAGGTCAGCAGGGGCTCCAGCCCGCGCCCAGGGAGCCCCACCAGAATCGCTTCCGCCAGCACTCGTGGATTAGCCGGGCAAAAGGGCCAGGCCGCACGCCTCTGGAAGTCAAAAGAAAGCTCCGACCTTTCCAACATGCCACACGCCATGCTACAGCGGGCAGCTTGAAAGCGCAAGAACACCTGCAGCCAGCCAGCCGTGGGCTCGGGAAGGCCTGCACCGCTCCAC